AACCAAACACAATGAGATCTATTGGATGGGAATCGAAATAATTTTAAATTCCGCTGTGCATGTATAAGTAGATTCCCAACATTGGTATGCTTCGAAACTGCACGAATAGAATGTGGATGAATTGGCACCATTTCGGACCGCAACAGCTTGATGTTTGATTGCACCGGCAGTGTTTCTGAATGTTATGTTGACGGCAACAAAGCCTGTCCCAACGACAGCTGCACACGAAAGAAAAAAGCATAAAACTGTTCAGCTACGAATTCAAGAAAGTCGAAAGACAAACAAAAGTTGTGGGTCATATAGTTGTGGGACCCACAAGTTGAGTCAACCAATTTCAATTTCCAGCCAAAAACAATACTAGGGACTCACCAAAAGTTGACGAGTTGAATTTAGTCCATCCGTCAACGTAGCTATGATTTCCAGTGATGATAGTCTGATTAATTCCAGCACCAATCATCATCAAATATTTCTTGTTGTTGGCAATTGATACATATTCTTCATAAACACCAGCGGTTCTATATATCAGAAAGTAACCGGCGCTGCCGTTGGAGTTTGTCGGAGCCGCTGCCACCGCGTCGTTCACGGTGGCGAAATTCCCAGATCCATTCTGATTCACAACTACAATGTCACTCACCAGAACCTGTTGAATTCAAAATTCCAATTTATGAGTACAAATGTCACGGGATAAATTCAAGTCTTGCAAGACAATGTTAGCGATTAGATCAATAAAATAGTTAATTATCCGAACCTAATTATCATTATCATCTGTCTGAAGCAGCCTTCTGTTGCTGAAAACGTTCAAGATTTCTTGATTTTTTGCAGACATTTTGAAATTCAATCTGCCATTTTGGAATGTCAAGTGTTTCCGTTGACACATAAAAATTCAGCCCAAATCGAACGGCCCAAGGAATGAAGCCCAATTGGAGGATCCCCAAATCAGATAGCCCAAAGAACGAAGCCCAATCAAACAATTCAAGATGAAGGCCCAAATAGGGAGGCCCAAGAACGCGGTAACGCCATCGCCCAAGTTTGCAAGTCACCCAGAATCTGAGCGAATGGAGTGTCATGCAGTCGCCCAGAGCTGTTACTCTATTCTCGCCCAAACCTTCAAGTCGCCCAAAGTCTTAACAAACATAAAGCGTTGTGGATATCAAGAAGTGCAGTTATCAAAGCAGTTATTAAAGCAGCCCTATCACGTTTCACGATTCAAGGAATTCAATCGAAAACGGTTGAACGACGAAAAGTAGTGGCAGTAGTTAAAAAAGGCAGTTTTCATGACAAGCTGGCCATCATGAGGAAAGTGGACAGTTGCAGAACGATCAAGCAGTTTTTAGGCGGTTGATCACAAAAAAGATCATCCATGGAGTATAAAAGGGAGAAAAGACATAAAGCAAAGGACCGAATCAAAAACTCTCGAACAGAGAACATGTAATTTTAATTTCCTTAGCTTAGACATAAACACTTTTTTCAGTAACTCGTGTGCTTGCGCCCCTTGGAGGCATTCTGTTTTTAATTTCCAATTGTAAAGTCATCGCCAATAAAAGAACACCCCTTTTTGGGACTTTGTCTCAAGAGGTTTGTCCCTTACACAATCGTTTGATCCCTTTTAATTGTTAGCGACTAACCCGCGCGAAACAATTTGGCACGCCCGGTGGGACAGTGGTATTTAGTGTTGAAAGTACAAAAGGTGAAACAATATGCCTCAGAGATCCGATAAAGAAGCAGCAAGTCAGGGAGGAGTCCAGTCTGTGATCGAGCGATATGAGGAGCAGCATGCCTCTCCACGAACAGATGGATAGAATCAGAGCAGTAACAGTCGTTACGAACCAATGACGGAGTTGAGTCCTCGAACCATGCGTGCATTACTTGGAGAACTCACACAAGACGTTGTTGAACAGGTAAATCTTCGAAGTATTCATAATATGGAAAGATTTACCCAAAATAGGAATGCACACTATGACAATATGGCCAAACAACTAAACACTTTAAACGAAACAATGAATAAGTTAGTAGGCCAAATATGTCAACCGGTTTTACCTCTTGCAAATCACTTTCAAACTAGGACAATTGTGGGATATAATCCCTCAGTCCTAAATCCGAATCAAGGGGTAGAACCACTTTCTGGTCTCTCTACTTCAAACCAAGGGGGTACTGCAGTGCCAAATCAGAATAATGGTATTGGTACGCCTAACTTGGGGGGTAATCCAAACATAAGAGATAATGTCCTAAACAATGGACAGAATACCCCACGTGTTAATGAGGGAATAGGTGTTCAGGCTAATGGTAATGGCCCTAATCATGGTAACTTCGTTGCCAATCAAGAACTAAACATCAGGCCTCATGCAAATCAACCTGTTAACCAGCCTGTAGGAATTCCATATGATCCCAACGTCACGTTGAGGAATTAGATTATGGAAATCGTACAGGATCAGATGGCTTTTGGGGTGCATCCCGTCATTAGACCGACGTACACAAAGTCATATCCTGATTGGGTAGACCAAGCATATCCATTGCCTAAAGGGTACAAAGTGTCAGAGTTCTCACTGTTTACTGGTTTAGCAGAGGTGTCTACTCTAGAACACATAGGGCGATTCACATTGCAAAGTGGTGATGTAACCGATTACCATAAAATGAGGTTTTTCCCTAGTTCGTTAACAGGAGTAGCTTTCTCCTGGTTCATCAACTTGTCAGCGAACTCTGTTCAAACATGACAACAATTGAAACAGTTATTTCACACTCAATTTTATCAAACTGAGTCTGAAGTCACTTTGGCTGATTTGACGAATCTACGTCAAATGCCAAACGAATGGACAGAAAGTTTTCTCCAAAGGTTCAAGATAGCAAGAAGCAAGTGTTTTGTACCTCTACCTGAAAAAAAATTTATCAAAATCGCTCAGGGCTGTTTGAGCTTTGATTTAAAAAAGAAATTCCAGGACAAGGAATTTCCTAACCTTTTCCAGTTGAGTGCGAATGTGATTAGGTGAACGACTGATAAGAGAGGAAGAACCGATGAAAAATTCTAGTAAAGGGACTTATTACAAAGACCCGAATTTTGACGTTCATACCATCAGCGACGAGTCATACGACCAAGCCGAAATGTGTTTGGTCGAATTGGCCAAAGGAGATACATATACTTGTCCCATAATAGCCAAGCCTAGACCATCGGGCAAAGATGAGCCCATAAAAGATGGAAACATAAAGGTTAGAACGTTCTCGTTCGATGTAACCAAAGCTGACCTTATATTTGATAAACTATATAGGGATAAGCAGATAAAGTTGAGCGATAAGCACAAATTGCCAAACCCTGAACAAATTAAGGGTAAAAAATATTGTAAATGGCATAATACATGGTCACATTTGACTAACAATTGCTTGGTTTTTCGCCTTGTATTGCAGGATGCTATTGAATCAGGACGAATTACGTTCGACGATAAGAAGAAGATGGCAGTGGATGAAAATCCTTTTCCACGGCCACTTGGAGTGAATATGGTGACGTCTGGATTCAAAAACAAGTTGCCAAAATTCAAGTTGGTCGTAGATGATAGAGAAGAGGATCCTAGACCACATCCCAGTGTCTTTGAACGAATTAAGGGGAAAGAACCAAAAAAGGACGAAGACGTCCTGTGTGCAAGATGTAAAAGAGAAATGAATGGCAATACGGAGAAATCAGGGATATGGCAGTATCCCCATCGCCCTACCTTCTTCCCAAACACTCAGCCTGGTAGAGGGCGAGGTACATCATTCTATAGAGGACCGCCTTTTGAGAGGCAGTTCAGGCCAGAAGATAATGGAAAAAAATTCAGGCTGCAACCTCGCCGGCTAAATGTATGGCATTCATTCCAGTATAATGCAGGAAGGGCAATACCCTTCGATGAGATGACTAGAACTCAATAAAGGCGTTTCCAACGAAACTATGGACGGATGATGAGGCAGCAACAGGGAGTGCCACATCCTAAAGCGCCTAAACTACTCAAGGTAGCCAATCAAAATGTCCTCAAAGATAGTGAAGAGACCGGTACAGATGAATCAATGAAGGAACTGCCAGAAACTTCTTCTGGGAGATCAAAGTTTGAGCAAGACAGAAGGGATGGAGAAGATCCAGATCAGCCCCTTGCTATCCAATTCGGTACGTTGCCTCCTATCGTGGCCAATAATTACTTACTGGCCAATGAATTCAATAATAAAGAAAAAGAAGAAGAGAGGGAGGACAACGAAGGAGAAGCTTGCGTGCTGGAATGTGAAGAAGGCCAGACTTCTAGAGAGGCCTACAACGATGAAGAGGATGACAGACATTGAAGAAGAAATCGACCTAGAAGCAGAAGGAAGAAAGAGAGGAGTATCGCGCAATACTCTGTTGAAGCAACTATATCGAGAAGGAGTTCGCGAAATAGACTTGTTGGGAGAACCATCTGGACGTCCTTTCGATTTCTACGTACTGTACGGGACACCCAAAAGGAATAAGAGAGTGTCTCGCTCTGAAAAGTATGGGTCACCTCCAAGAATAATGCCCCCTCCCACAGGTTGGGTAATTGATGAGGAAGCATTAGAAAAAAGTAAGAAGGAAGTTCAGGAGATAAAGGATCAGCGCGATATACTGCACGTCGACTCATCACAGGGGGATAATTCGACAGAAAACAAATAAGAAGTAGAAATAGAGGCTGTTGAAAAGGTTATTTTTAAACGGCCAGCCATGAAATTGACTAAACACTTGAGGCCATTGTACGTTAAAACTCTAGTTAACGGCATCCCAGTGGCAAAAGTGCTTGTCGACAATGGAGCAGCTATAAACACCATTCCATCTAGGATGATGAGGAAGTTCGTAAAAATAGAGGGTGACATGATTCCTACAGAAGTTATCCTCACGAGCTTCAATGGAGGAGCAACTTCAGCTAAGGAAGTTATGACATTGGACATAACTATAGGGACGACTACTAGGACCACTGTCTTCTTTGTAATAGATGGTCCTACTAGTTACAATGTGCTACTAGGAAGAGATTGGATACATGGAAGTCGCTGTATACCCTCATCACTCCATCAATGCCTGATCTTTTGGAGTAATAAAGGCGAAATAGAGGTGGTACAGGCCGATCATAGGCCTTTTGTCGCAGAAGCAAACTCGGTGGAAAAGTTCATGTACGAAGGAAACTATGGACCTGTCAGGGTAGTACAAGATGGGGAAGAAACTCAAGTTGTCACGCAAAGCGAAGAACCATTCTCAGTGGACGCACTCACTGAAATGTTCAAACAGATGAGGCCAAATATAGTGGCCCTAGAAGAGCCAGTAATTGGCAAAAGAATAATCAAGGAGTTTTGAATGGATTCTAAGTTACAAAAGCAAATGGCTGACATTCAGGCCTTCAAAGCCAGACTGATGGCTTTCAATAAGGAATGCAATGACAAGGTGAAAGAAGAGACAGCCCTAAAAGCGCTGAAGGACAAATTGGCAGTATTCGTGTTAGAACAAAGCATTGGCCGAGAAGTCAACAAGGTGGACCGTTTAGAAGAGGAAGTACTTACATGGGAACTAGATGACGAAGTGATGCGCATCGTCAAACCTGGATACGCTCAAGCACAAGACCCTCTGATCAAAGTAAATATTGGCAATGAAGGAGAAGATCGTCCAACATTCATCAGCCAGATGCTCGATCAAGAGGTTAGTAATAAATTAATCGCTTTGCTAAAAGAGTACAAAGATTGTTTTGCTTGGGAATATGAACAAATGCCTGGTTTAGATAGAGACTTGGTGGAACATAGGTTACCAACTAAGCCTAACTTTAAACCTCATAGGCAGCCTCCTAGACGTTTTACTCCCAATGTACTCCCTGAAATCAAGAAAGAGATAGAGCGATTATTGAAAGCAGG